TTATGCCAGAATAAATGTGTTAGTCTTTAAGATGCCACAAGACAGTTGTTCTAACTGCAATAAACTAACATACTAAGCAAATAGTCTCTCTGGAAATTGGTTGAAACATCTGCCTGGGTTAAAACCATCTTGCTTCCTATATGCTTGTATACATTTACTGCAAGGGAAAATCTCCATCAGTGGAGAGTTTTTTTGTTTCAAGCAGGGATCGGGCAGATGTTTAACCTTCTGCTCCCAGAGTACAGTGAATCCAAGCTGGGGCTGCAACGCTTACACTGGAGTAAAAAAGAGACACACCCTTCATGATTAGCAGAACATGTTGTTTGTCTTTCAAAGGTGCTTTATATGTGTGAGGCATGAAAATTATAGTGTACGACCAACAGCAAGCCTTTCATGTTCTGCGGGCCCAGCAGATGCCCTGGCGTCATTCCGTGAGGGTGCAGAGACCTCTGCTGTTCTCGTGTGCACACTGCAGCTTTGGCAACTACTGGCAGTTCTCTTATCATGATCAGGAACAGGGCACTCTCTCCCTATTCACTTGAGCGAAGCTGAAGCTGCACTGCCAGCAACCATTTCGAGATCCCTTGCAGAGTTAAAATTGCTGTACCTGGAGTCAACTCATAAATGAAGGGGCTTCAGTGCCCAAATGACCATCTCAGGTCCCAGCTTAGGTTTCCAGCATTCAGATTTTAAAAAGCAAGGGTCTTCCTTTTGTAGAACCAAAGGTACAAGGCAAAATGTTCAAGCATAGTTCTGTCCAGTCGTTTTGGTTAACGGAGCCTGCTTTTCCGTGTGCTTAGCCAATGAAGTCGCCATCATGATGGACGTTTTGGCAACTGTACTAATCATAGAGATAAGTGCAGAGTGGCCATTTATCTACTAAAGGAGCTTTCAGGCTTACTGAGAACCTCTTCTTTGTTCTACCCTGCCGGAGCACTGATTACTCCCATAGAGAAATGCAGAATTTTAGCAGTTATGATTGGGTAACAAGCACATCTAACCCCAAACACCAGGAAGCAGCAATGACATAGTGTATGCTTTTCTAGTTCAGGCCTTATTAAGTGCAAAAAAAAAGTTTTTACAAAATGATTTGTGAACAATCACCTTGCTAATGCAAAACAAGTACACTGTCTACCCATATAGTGTGTGGGAGATCACTGTGACTATGAGTTATGCCAGCCCTGTGGTGTTTCACATTGTTTTGCCTGTGCTGGAGTGGAGAGGGGGTAGTGTATGACATTCCTGAAGTGTGGTCCATTGTTATTATGGGGGGGGGGCGGTGAATGGGGGAGAATGCAGTTGTGGGGGCTGTGAAGTTAAGGGCTGTACAACTATCTGAAGGAAAAGGATTGAGGAGAAAAAAAAGATCAATTTTAGGCACACTTACACGAAAATGAGTCTTACTGAGGGCAGGACTTATTTCTCTGCATGTTCGCATAAAGTTATGCTCAAAACTGCTTCATACACTTTCTCAGGAGGAAGCCCCAGTAAACTGAATACAGATTTACAGTAGATGTATAGGGTTGCTTTGTTAAGATTTCTCTGCGTCGATAATCATACAGAAGATGGAGACAAATGAGAAGCAAGAGAATGTCTTTAATTCACTGCCTCATTCAGACATGATGACGTGCATGCATGCACGTGTGTGCACACAGGGGTGGCTGCCCCACCATTCCTCGCTGGATTGCTCTGGGCAAGTCACTAACATTCAGCCTGCCCCCAAAGCTTATTAGGATTAAAAAGATTTACCTCTAGTACAAACACAGAATGCAAATGTATTAAAGTCTAGAACAGATTTGAAAAAAACTATTCATCTTATTACAATTCAAAGTCAGTTTCCTCTGCCACCTAGTTTTGCATAGTACCTGAGTGGACATGCCTGTGCAATAGGTACAAGATGCATGACATCTATGTTCTGAAGACTTTGGAGAGGAAGCCAAGTCCAGAAACTCATACACCAGACCGGATCTATTTCTGAGATGCCTTTATGTGTGTGTTGCGTCAGTTCGCTCCAGCCCAGAGCTGGTATTTTCCATACATGAATATTCGCTGCATTCCTGCACTTTCCTCTCTTGAAATCATTAGCAATCAGCTACAAACGAGAGGGCGGGGTGGATATCCGAACATCTTCTAGCAAACTACCTTATTTCGCTACCGGAGCAACCTGCAGCTGGGAAAACCATCAACCCGTTGCATTCAAAACAACCATCCAACTCTGTAAGTCTTTCCCTGGGGGTGGAGCTTAGGCGAGGGGGGCGGGATTTCTGACATCATATCCTGTTTGGGCCTTGTTGTGGTTTTTCTTTGAAAAGGGAAAATATCCTTTAACTGTAAGCGAGACCCAAAACAGTACCCGTATTTTCCTAAAAGAAGGATTTGCAGGGAGGGCGCAACTTGATTTGCCTTTCCCGTGGCCCGAGGGTGGCCGGGCTGGTTGTTGGGGTGGAGGATTGGAACAAAGAGCCTCTCCTTTCCTCTTTCCCCTACAGCAGCATATTTGCAACAAAGAACATCTTGTGTGGGGAGGCAGGCAGGAAGAAAGGGAAGAAGGGATGCAGCATTAATATTCCCTTCAGGACTCGTGGCTGGAATAAATTCCGGGACAGCAAGAAGAGGAGACGGCAGCAACAAAGGATCCGGCCAGAGATGTGAGCAGACCTGTGGGATGCTTGGAGGAGATGGGGAGGAGGGGGGAGAGTTGCCTTGACAGCTTAGTAGAAAGATGGACAGCCGGCTCACAAAGCCGGGCGTCCAGATCCGTCCCCTCCCCTTTTCGGCCTGGGGCGCCTTACTAGCGGACGCGCCCTCCGGAATTGGGAAAGGAAGGCTTTGGTTTTAGGAGAGCGAAGTTGGGCGATGCAGCAGGCCGGTGTGCGTGTATGGCGAGAATAGAGGGCAGCCAGGTGTTATTGATGCGATGCGCTGTAGTCAGTGGTTTTGATGCGATTGCAATGTTACACCGTGTTCTTCCGATAATACGTTGTGCAGCTGTTGGTTCCGGGTGTATTGTTGTAGAAAATAATGCCTTTATTGCTGTATCCTGTGTTGTTAAATGTGGTAATGATGTGGTAATGATGGGTTGGTTGTCTTGCTTGCTTGAGTTGTGGTCAACTTTAGGAGTGAAAGAATGTGTGCAACGGAGCTCTCGGTTGGGGGAGGGGGTGTTGCTGTTGTGCACTGGCTACATGAATTGCCATCTGCATTGAGGAAGGGTCCAGGTATCTGGAGAACAGATGTGATGTCTAGCACCTGAAGATACATTTAGGTGACAGTGGATTGCCATGGAGCTACCTGGAGTTAGAAGAGACCTCAAGAATTCATCTGCCAGATATTTTGGACTACAGTTCTCATTGTCACTGACCATTAGTCTTGCTGTCTGAGGCTGATGGGAGCTGTACTGCAATGTCTGGAGTGGGGAGGATGGGGAAGTCCAACCCCTGCTGATGCAGGAAGGCCACTGCTACTGCACACCAAATTGGTGGCTGTCCAATCTCTGCTTAAAAACTTACAGTGGGGACAGGTGCAAAGGAGAGCAAGTTTTCTGCCTTTAACAGTTTTGAAAAAAGTGTGAGCTTAGTGTGAAGGATATAAGAAAAGCATCTACCTTTGCAAAGGTTTCTACTTCCTCATAGTTATTCAAAGTATGGGAACCTTTTGCTTTGGGTGCTCTAACCTATGCATTACAGTGTGAATAAAAGGTAGAAGCTGAAACTTCAGGGGAGGGGGTGAACTGATTGATTAGCTGAGTGTGAAAACCTCTTACACTGGGCTTCAGAACAAGTGTTTCTTGGTAATCGTGTTTGAGGCGTTCCTGCTGCTGCTCTGCTTCTGAATGTGGGAAGTCAGTAACAGCTGTAGGAACTTGGAGGATGGTTATTGGCATTGGCATTTATCCCTGAACTGTCTAATGAGCTGGGTGCTGCATAAGCCTGCCATAGGAAAGTAACTACCAGTAATAGTCAAGCGGAGTCATTTAACATGGACAAGGGCAAGTAGAATAGGATTGCAGAAAATGACGGTGTGAAGAGAGACTGGCATAAAACTCCCATTCACCTCTTGTTTCCCTTCTGGACAGCCCACCCTGCACTTGAGAGAATTATGTTCCGGTTCATGAGAGATGGAGAACCAGAGGATCCGATGTTTGTGATGTGAGTACAGCCCCCAGACCTTGCCTCTTGGAAAAGAAGCTGGGGACTAAGGTTGGGGTGCCCGGCTTCAGGATCTAGCCCCCTTACATATCTTCTCCCTACTCAGGGACCCTCTTGCCATCCACCACCAGCATGTGAACCGCGTGCTCTCAGGTGGCTTTGGTTACAGTCCCTTCCTCAGCATTGGCAATGGAACCATACCTGGAACACGTCAAACCAGCCGAAGAATGCCGGTAAACAAGGACTATTTGTCTTTTTTCCTTTCTTTTTTCTTTTCCTTTGCTGTAAAAGCTGCAAAGAAATTTGAGTGATACTTGCCTTGGTCTCCCCATTGCTTGTCATCTTTCAGGAAAAGTTCTGTCATTAAGACCAAAGGAAGCACATGGTGATTTGTGTGTGCCCAACAGGGAAACTGAAGAACTGTGTAACTTGCACTTTATATTAAATATGTTTATTATGCCTTAGCACTCCAAAATCTTCAAAGAAGGTCTCAAAATTTGAAAGGTTACATGCAAAATCCTCAACCTAATATGCCTAGAATCACTTTAAAATAAAACTAGTAAGGAGCAGCAAAGAACATCTCTATAAAATACTTAGGAGAACAACACGGGACCTGAAGAATAGTGATGTTGGAGTCATTACTGCTCTATTTGAGGGACTAGTGAGGAACTGCCTTTCCCAGGTGCCCCAAAGTGCCAGAGTGTACTTGAGATCCTCTGGGAAAGGTTTCCCACCCCCTTGCAAACAGTGCAAAGGGGCACTTCAAAACTTGGCAAAACCCCTGTGCAGGGAGGCAGGCTGATCCCTTTAAATCCTGTCTTATGGCTCTCTCCCCACCACCCCATCCCTGCCAGGGGTTTCCTTGAGGCTTGTCTCTTCCCAAGGTGCTCTTCACTTCAGGTTGGCTGCATAACTGAGCGACAGTTGAGGCTTTCTAGCACCCTGCAAGACCCTTTGGGGATCTTGCTTGGAAGATTGAGGTGGTGTCTTCTGAGGCAACCTTTTTTACAGATTCTTGGGAAATTTGTGTGTGGGGGTGATGCCTCTGCGTTATCCACTATTGGGAAACCGAGAGCACCCCAGGGCCACATGAGCCCCCCCCCCCGCCGCCCCGCAAAATAAAAATCTGCTTTCTACACATACCCAGGTTAAAGAAATGGTCGAAAGAAAGATAGCAATGGGCTGCAAAGTTGCAATTTGGCATGTGTCCATGCAGACAAGTATCTAGGCCAAATTGCAACTTGCAATTGCAGTGCTTCACGGAGGATGGAAGGTGCAGGCATGCAACCTTTGCTGTGAGGGATCTGCTGTCGGACACAAGAGTTTTATCCACAGTGCATGGTTAGCATTCCCAAGGGAATTAACCTGATACTTTTTTGTCAGAACAGTTAAACTGTAATTGTTTTAGAATATGTATGAGTTGTCTAACCAGGGGGTTATAGTTCTTTGTTCTATAGTTCTTGCTTACTGTCATTAAATAACCTCCAGACTACTGCAGGGGAGTTAACTTTTTAAATAGTTTTCCAACTTTGAGGAATTCCCCATTGTGAAATTAAATGTGACTACACTACTGGACTTGCTAGGCAATTTTCTTCTTCCACATATGTTGAATCTGATCATATTTTGCCTACAGTTTAAAATGGTTTGATAACACATTTGTTTCTTTCTGTCTCCTAGGCAATACTTGGGACTAAACCCAGAGTTGCCCCTCATCTTCCTTTTTCCATAGCTAAGGCAGCAAGCATAGGCCTAGTCGGTTGGGTATAAGTCTCTTTATACTCACTAGTGCAACACTAGCTTCCGTGTAGGGATGCAGAGGGCTGCAGCTAGGGATTTCAACTCAGATTTGGGTCTTGTTAGTCGAATATCTCTCATCTATCTTCTCTTAACTGAATAGTGAAACCCTCCATTCTTTTCTCTTCCAGGACATGGGCAGGTTAGAGAAAAGAAGCTTATTGCAGAGGGGTAGAGTACTAATTGCTGTGTATGCCTTTGTCCTTTTGCAGGCAGGAACTGTTTCCCCCTTTGGGATGGTAGGAATGGTAAGCCCTAATATCTTCTTCCCACATATACCTATCTTCTCAATTCTCTGGAAGCTGCTCCTCTCAGCAGCAGCCCAGTTTTCTTCTGTTAAAGAATGTCTTAAGTTTGCAGGGATGAGAATAATGATGCACACTTCCCCCACAGGAAGAGAGAATGTGAAGGCTTACGCGGCTTAGTTCAGAGATAAAAAAAGGCCATGATAAAGGGGATTAGAGGAGTCCTCTCTATCATCTCTGTCCAAGACAGAAACAAGAGGGAAAAACAAGAAGCTTCCAGTGAAAACATTAAGAACATAAATTTCCTATCACGGGAAGGTTTTGAACTCAAGAGCCTGGTGGTGATAAGAGGAGGGCAGGCTGCTTGTTTGGATAATGACAGCATCCAGTTGCATTACTTGGAAAGAAGTAGTAGGCGGGGCAGCCTCAATGTCCTTGTCTTAAGGACACATCCCAGGTCCAATGGGCACTGGGCAAACTGCTTAGGGGCTTGGCCAGGGAGGCAGTGGTTATAATTCCAGGGTCTGCAGGCTTGTGGTTTGATTTATTGGCAGGTTTCCTGCAATTCGCAGGAAATTTGGGAGAAGGGAATCATTCAAGTTATATTGTGCCTTGGAGCAGGCAGAAACAACAGGGCTGACTTGCTGCTGCTTGCCTGCTCCAAAGCATGGGGCAAGACTCTTCCTTTCCTGAGTAAGGAGGAAATTGTTTCATGGTGCTGACCGGGGGCTTTTGCAGCTGGTGAGTGGGTTTATTAGAAATATATTTTTGCCATGAATAACATGGTGTTGGCTATTTGGTGCAAAATACTGAATACTTAGGATATTGTGCAGTTCTGGCTGTGCTGACTTTGCTATTCCTCTGATGAGGACAAGGAACAATTAGCCTAATGTGAATGTTTGTATAATTGAAATGGAATCTCATGCATGAGGACATGAACTCAAAATAATTTAATTTAGATTAGTTGTCCTAAAATGCATTAAAGAATGGTTAAAATGGGTTTCCTCTCCCTGTTCTTTCATTGTTTTCTCTGGTAAAGTAACAGCTTCACAAACTGCAACTCTAGTTAACCAAATCAGCTGTAGTAACTGTAACTATTGAATGGGAGCTATTGAGTGTTGTGAAGGATGGACTGTAGGCTTCAGACTGGGCAAAGTTGGGGCTAAAGCCCTGCTTTGGCATGACGTGTAGTAAATGACTGTGACCCACTCACTCTGTTTGGGTCTAGCTTATCTTGCAGGTGGCTGTGAGGACAGACAGGGTGGGGTGAGGGGAGAAACGAACCTGGTGCATCGCCCTGAACTCATTGGAGGCAAGGCTGGAAGCAAAGCAGGGAGGCTGTAGTTAGTCTAGAAAGGTGCATTTGGATTATGCCCAACTATTTTTGGCTGATGAGCATATTTGGCATTCTGAAAGAGTGAGGGCACCTCTTGCCAAATGGCTGCTGTTCACAGAATGGCGGGCCAGATACACTGTGGCATTCACAAAATACCAATTTCCCAAAAGCCTGCCTTGTGAGGTAAAAGAAAAGTAACTTACTCAAGGGCCTAAGAATAGTGTCAGAGCTCCAGAGCGCAGACCCATTATTTTGAACCACATCTTTCCACTCCAATTATCATTTCCCAGAAGGATAATTGGTTATGATCACAGGAACTTCAAGCCATGCACATATGGAAACACCCCCCTCCCACACAAACACAGGTGAAACATAGAAACAGAGTGAGTCAGAAGGGGCCTCCTGGGCCATCTAATCTGACCTCTGGCTCCTGCCAGTTTTGCCCAAACGTCCACTCACACACCCACGAAACACCATTTCAAAGCAAACCACCTTAATTCACCCTCCTCTTGTCTCAAAACACCCCCTTGCTCCTGGCAACCCCCCCCCCCAGCCAATATTTCCTGCCACCTGCTGCAGCCCCCAGAATACTTTCTTATTTTCTGGGCTGCTGGCCACTTTTCACAATGAAGTGCTGGGCTACAGCCATCCGCGCCTGTAGTGGGCAACTCAAGGCTGTGCTGGAGATCATCATTTCCCTTTGCTGCAGCGTCTTCCAGATCAATTTTTAACATTGATTTTAAAAATGTCAGGGAAGCAGGGAGGTGTAGGCCCCCAGGTGCCACTGTGGGGATCCCTAGTATGGTGCAGTAATGAGAGTTGGAGAACAGCCTAGCTTCTGCCTGATGCAGAGGCTCAGTTCATTCTGCTAGGTCAGCCGTCCCCAGCCTGCAGTCTTCCAGATGTGTTACATTAAAACTTCTGGCATCCCACGGTCAGCTGTGCTACAGTTTCCTTTTACTATGTCTCATGTAGCCCCCAAATGTCAGCTCTCTTCCTCTTTTCAGGCAGGTGGTTTTATGGACATGTTTGGAATGATGAACGACATGATTGGAAATATGGTAAGATTCCTCTTCGGGTACCACTGTTCTTTGTATCGTCGGACCAGGCACCAGTGTAGGTGATGCAGTGCAGTGGCCGATGCCATTTGGCCAGAAAGGAGATGTGCATGCGGAGTTAAGTGTTGTTTATATTTAGCGAGAAAGGAGAAGACTGATCTTCATCCCTTCTCTTGAGAGGGGCAACCTTCCAAAAAGCTGGCTCAAGATGCTAATGCTTTCCTAACCGGGTCATATGATATAGTAACGCAGGCACTGAAAAAGCACTTTGTGATTAGAAAGTGGGTGCTTTTTCACACTAAGCATCTAATGTGGAAATGTCTGCCTTGGTGGGGGTTTTGAAACATACGGCCTGTGTTCACTTGAGCACAAGATACAACAGAAGCACAGTTCTTGGCCAGAGCTGGCAGGGCTGTCTGTCTTTTAGTCCTGCCTGTCTTTGGGCTCTGTTTGGTTATGTTTACTGCGGAACTGTGCAATCTGTAGACACGGGAGGAGGCCTTGTGGCCATGATTCTGAATTTGCTACATTGAGGGTAGATGTCTGCTTCTGCTTGATCCATCCGCTGTGGGTATTGCAAGGATAAAGCCCAGGGCAGTGTGTATTCGGGGAAGTGGAGAATGTGACACTTGAAATACAACGTTGATTATCTTGGCTTTTTTAAAGGCAGGTGTCTAGCTCTTTCTTGCTTTGTGAAGGTAGGCTTGCAAAAGCATAGGAAATGCCTTCTGGAAAGCCTGCCGGGGGAGGGGGGGGCGGTTGAATAAAATTTCCAGTGGTGGAGCATCATTTCCCCTTCCCTGATGAGCAAAAGCAGCATGGGTTATGCAAAACAGTAAAAACTGTATAACAAGAATAGTAAAAAGGATGTGTTGGCAGTTTATTCAATTCGGAAAGGTCATCTTTTTGGTATGGAAGTTGATGTCCTTCGTCCACGTGGGATGTAGCCCTGTGTGTGCCCTCGTTGAGTGAGGTAGAGCAGAGTAGTTTGGCAGGGCCAGCATCTCCCTGTGATTGTTTTTCTTGTTCTCTCCCCCGTAGGGATGCTGGAACAGCTAAGGGGACGTGGTCATCCCTTCCTGGGGGAATGCCAGAAAGAAACTCCCAGAAACTCTCAGGGGTTGGTGGCAGGAGGCAGAAAATTAGCATTTGTAGGAACTATTCTGTTCAGTGTCAAATGGATGGATGCAGATACAAGGTAGCTCACCTCTCCTGCTCTTTCACACACCTCTAGGAGCACATGACGAGTGGTGCCAATTGCCAGACGTTCACTTCCTCAACTGTCATATCCTACTCGAATCTGGGGGATGGCCCCAAAGTCTACCAGGAGACCTCGGAGACACGCTCTGCACCTGGTGGGGTGAGAAGCAGGCTGCTGCCTGCCTAGAATTTTTAACAAGCCACATGGCCGGCTGCTTTCCCTGAGAGCAGGTAGGCCTGAACGGAGACTTGAAGCCAGCCGGCAAGATTTAATCCCTGAGGCAGGAGATGTTTTCCAGCGAGGGTGACTCCCTGGGGAGGGCAGTGGGGTGTGATAACCAACATCTGTTCTATGAAACTGGAAGGAAATGGATGGGGTCCAGTTAGACAAGACTGAATTTCAAGGGAGCGTCGGGTAAAGCTTGCCACCCACACCCCTAACAAGGGCCGGTCCTTTTGCCCTCAGATCCGGGAGACGAGGCGGACAGTGCGAGACTCTGACAGCGGCTTGGAGCAGATGTCCATTGGGCACCACATCCGGGAACGTGCACACATCATGCAGCGCTCACGCAACCATCGCACGGGGGACCAGGAGGAGAGGCAAGACTACATCAACCTGGATGAGAGTGAGTGTTCCCCGCAGCGCCCCTCTTTTCTGGGAGGGCGCAGTCCACGCGGCGGCGCCTGCTTAGCCGCTGCCTCCCGTTTGCTTCCCCAGGCGATGCGGCAGCATTTGATGATGAGTGGAGGCGAGAGACATCCCGCTTCCGGACACAGAGAGGGCTGGATTACAGGCGTCACGAGGGGAGCAACAGTCGCAGGGCTGAGGGGACCCGCCTTGCTATTCAGGGACCTGAGGAGTCTCCGACCAGACAGTCGCGCCGGTATGACTGGTGAATCCAGAGCAGACTTAAGGGGGGGTGCGATGCGGTCACCCCCAAATCTACCTTCATGCTCTTGTAAGTCTAAATTGTTGCCCCTCGCATGCACGCTGTGCCCCCGAGTATGTTGCCCGAGCTTCTCAGATGAGGGAGGTACAACCTGGCAATCCAAACCACATTTTCAGTAGGTCATGGGCCTGGCTTGTTTCGGCGCCCCACAGCAGTGCCCTCATACTCCTTCCGGGGATGTGTGTCTGTGTCGTCTCTGCATACACATGCTGTTCATCTGGACACACTGCACTGGACATGTACAGCTGGGCCTTAAAGTGGCTGCTTCTGCTGGCAGAGCAGACAAGAGTCTTTAAGAGCTAATGGGGCTTCTGCAAATAACTAGACTGTAGGGGGAGTTAGTAATAGGAAGACTAGTGAGAATTTCAGAGGAAGAGTTACTGCTGTTTTGCTGGATGGAGAAAGTCTCTGGGAATTAAAGAGAGCAGGGGATTGTTTGTGTGTGGGAGAGGGACACTTTTTAAAATTTAGTAAAACATTCAAAACAATGTGTAGGGTTCATTTGGCTCCTAGCATAGCTCTGTTTCTTAAACTCGCTGGAATCCTGCAGTGCCTGGACGGGGGACTACCTGGGAATCCTGAATGGCCTCTGAGCAGTATGGAGAAAGGCAGCCTTCAAATAGAGCTTTAAAAAACACAGTGCAAAGCCGTCAGAAACAGGTCCAAGAGGCTCTGTGTCTTTCCCAGGCAGGAGAGCCATGTGCCCACACGAGACTTAAATTGTATGCTTTTTGTCCAGAAGTATTTCTTATCATGCAGGGTTGTTCACCATCCAAAAAGGCGAAGTTTTCTGTAGCTACAATTACTGATAATAGAAGCAAAAGAAGACTCTAAGGGCACAGTCACATTACAAAATTGCAGCCTAATTTAAGTCACATTGGGAGGTAACTCCATATTTATTTCAGCAAGGCTGAAATAAAAGTACATAGTGGTTAAAGTGGTTTGAAATTTTCTCTTTTTGAAGCCTTGGAATTACAACAGCATCGGTATGTTAAGGCGTTTCTCTGAAGAGGCAGACTCCCTATTCACAGAGCCTTGATCCCAGGGGGAGGGCAGGAGGGATGCTGTGGCATAGAAATGCCCCCCAACCATGGGCCTGGTGCGCAGGCACTGTGTCTAAAACTTGCCATCTGAGTGGTTTAAAGCAAGTCAGACATGGATTTAGTTCCTGCTATTAGTTTTTGTTTGAATTAAGCACTCTCTTACTTGGCTCCAGTGGCTGAAAATGCTTCCTTCATTTAGTGGAGACTAACTGAGACCTCTTCCTCACTGAGCTGGTAGACTCGTGCATGAGTTATGCCATCTGAGACTGCAGCTGGGAGATTGCATGTCTCTGTAGAACAACAGCAAAATCCCTCCATGTGGAAAATAGAGGATGTGCAAGAAGTCATCCAGCCTATTTTCTCCCTGATATAGCAGTTCTCTGTGTGAAAGAAACCTCTTGCAAGGAGGAAAATTCCAACCTGCAGTCTTAAATAGTTCAGCCCAGATACTGGTTGACTGTGTCAATGAGATCTCAGTCACAGGGATTTTGCAATTAATGTTCTACTTTTCTTGCTTGCTGTTCCTTCTGCATTTCCCTCATGTTCCTTTTCTGATTTCTCTTGTTTCTCCCTCTCCACCCTTTTACTCAGGTACAGACAGTGAAACTCTGATGGTGAAGCCCCTACAAAACATCTCTTGGACCTTCCTCAAGTTGAATACTAGCCTTGTGCCCCTCTTAAAATTTAAATTAAGCGACTAACTCTCTCAGCACAGTATAGAGCAGGTGGCCAAGGGGAACATGAAGGATCTTGTCCATGAATGACACATCTGCTTTACTTTGTTTTTCCTCTAACTCCTCCCTGCCCCCCACTGAGCTCCCCAATCCCTCCCCTTCGTGTTTTTGGGGGGATGCAGGAATATTCTCCTGGAGTTTTGCCATCCCCTCTGTATTTCCTACTCCAAGTTTGGCTGGTTCTGGAAATTATATTTAATCTATCTACCCACCTCAAGTGGCAACCATGTAACGAAGTCTGTTGATCTGCTATTAGTCTGAAGCACTTGGAAAATAACCTTTGGTCACCTTTGCTCTCAGTCTGCCTGCCCCGGAAAAACGGGGCATGTATGAAGGGGTGCAAGGGATCGGGTGAGGTGTAGACAAACCAAACAGGCCTACCTCTCTGCCCCAACCCTGTCAGCTCCCCATCTTATAAAATTTGATTTTGTGAAACTTGTAACTAGATGTTTACTGAATTGAATAAAGAAATGGAACCTGTAAAGCAACAGGTTGGCCTCCAGCTCCGTTTTTGTGTCTTCCAGTTCTCAAGGGAAATCAGAGGGCTATTGGCTTTCTTCAAACACGCAGCCTCAAAGTCCACATCTTCTCTTATTGAACCAATCAGTCTGACAACTCATGTGTATGGTTAGTTTTATTAAAAGTCTTTACTCTTCCTTCCTTATGTCTGTAACTGTTTACAAGATGGAATCCTTAGCAGAACAGGAGTAGCACTGAATCCTCAGGCCTTGCTATTGTAGGGCTGATGAAGACGAAGCTGGCCTGTTTTTCCTTTGTCTTCATACTATCAGCTCTCATGAGGAATACATTTCTGCTCAGGCATTGCTGGACGTGGAGAAGTTCTGTAAAGCTATTGCTTAAAATCCTCTTCATTTATGGTCTGTTTATTACAAAGCCTCGGGTTCCAGCAGCAGTCTCCTACTGCATCCGTGCTCTAAAACATGGCAGAAGCCTTGACAGATTGGTTAAGTGAGCAACCATGGACTGTCTTGGCACAGCCAATGGTTCCTTCCAAGCGGGACCTGACTCCCATGGAACAGTTCAGAAATCTGGTACAAACACCTTGCCTTCAGATGTGAACCCTGCTTTGTCTCATGCTCATTCTCTTCTGGTTGGCCATCTTGAGTGAGGGCAAGCCCCTCGTTTCATCAGATCCTTCACCAAGATCTCCACATACGGATGGTGGCAGCAGGTGAGGTTGGCTGGGTTCACGGTGCATGTTGCTGGGGCATGACGTTAGAGAAGGATTTGATCAAGACCCAGCCACGAGGGCGCGCGAGTCTGGGAGAGGTGGAGGCTGAGCAAGTTTCAGAGGAGATGGCTATAGAAAGGAAGACTGGAGCACAGGGAAAGACTGCCTTGCATGGCCGCCAGACTAGAAAGGAGCTGGTGCAGCAGATGGGCTGGCCCAGGAGCCTCTTCCAAGTGTTGCAGGATCTGAAGTTTCATATCCTGACTCAAACAGTATCGGAATAGCAGTCACCTGCAGCAAATTTTTGGTTGGCGTGGGTAGGAGAAGGAGCAACGTCCCCTGGGAGGAAGGGCAAGGTCAGGCATGGCTGCTTCCATGATGCTGGAAGGCAAGCAGTATCCCAGATGGCGGTCTCTGGCACGGTTTGTGTTGCCTGCCCTGGCCCTGTGTCTCAGGAGGAAAGGCTCAGCAAAACCTTATGATAACTGGCCATTTGAGGAGGCGGAGCTGCTGCGCAGTCTTCTCCAGAAAGCTTTCCCCACACTAGAGTCCTCCAGTCTAGAACGCCCATCATTCTTGACTGGGCTGATAGAACCTGAAGTGCAGTGGCACCTGGAGAGCACCAGGTTGGACAAGACTGACCTACACTGCACATGCACAGAGTTGCGCTGTTTTGGCAAAGCACCTCACAGGTGTGGATGAGTGAAGTGTTTGCAGGTTCTGCAGTGCAGTGTTCCACTTTCAAAGGTGGGAAATGATGCTTTTGTCTAGTGTGCTGTGCACTGTGTGATTTAATATTTTTAATGCTATTGCCAAGCAGCCCAAATTCTGCAGCTTGGTTTACAACTATGCACATTTGTGTAATTGTTCTCAATCACTTGATGTATTCTGCAATGTTTACTATCTTGCAATCTTTCTCTAATTGTGGAGGGGAATAAGGAGCTATGTAGAACAGCGGTGGCAATTTCTTTTTCTCATTTTATCTAATGCCCAAATTGGCTCCACACAAGCAGGTTTGGGGTCACATCCTGAATTGGGCAGAGCCCCACACTGCTGGCATGTGGCTGGAGGGGAGTGCCCTGACCCCATTCACACATGTGCCTGTATCTACACACACAAACACACACATGCACATGCACAAAACCATATTATACAGCCTCCCAGAAAAAGCCCCTTCCCTGCTCAGTGATTCAGCTTTTAAAAATTCTCCGTGGACACCAGTGGAGGCTTTTAAAGAGCGTGACTGCAGGCAGACACTTCCTCATCTCTGATGCAGAGCACATATTCCAGCCCTCGAATCCCTGGAAAACATCCTTAGCCAACAGCCAACTGCTCTGGCTCAGCAAAGGTTCCCTGCGTGCTCTCAAGCCTTTCCTTTAGCACACGGCTTAGGTGCTTCTCTGGTTTTTGTTTAGCACTAATGTGTTCTAACACAATTGAGGCTGCTGGTGTCACGATACCCATCAAGGGCTCATTCAACTGTAATAAAAGTGCATTTGCTGCAGCAAGCTAACACAGCTTGGATTTGGAGGACAAGCGACAATAGGATGGCTTGCCGACGATGAGGTCACGTTTTGGAATCCTGGGTGGTTTATGAAGGACACTGATGGGTGCTTTAACCCCGAAAAGGAATAAAATCCCTCAGATCCTGGAAACTCTCAGGCTTTGGCTGCAGGGGTAGATTGTTCTTCAAGAGCCTCGTCCCCCACTGTGGACCCTGCAATGTTTTGTCTCTTGATCCGGAGGCTGCGGCAGGTGCTTCCTCAGCTGTTCCAGGCTTGCACTGCTGTGGACCCTGCAGTAAGTTTTCAATTAGTGGCTTGCCAGACCTCTCGCCAGCAAGAGGAAAAAACACGAGCTGATGGAAACCAAAGGCACCAGATTAGATCCATGCCCTTCCTATAGTGAAACTATTTTAAAAACTAGATAAAAATTAGCTCAATTGCTATCCAGGTTCTTTCACAATTGCATTTTTCTTTTGGCATCTTTGCAAGGTAGGCCTGAAGCATCTACTGCAGCAGAATCTATTTTAATGCTAGGATTCATAATGGGAACACATGCAATCATTGAAAATAGACTCAAAGCATACACACAATGTCTTTTTTCCCACTAAATTGTTACTATTACCACCTCCTCTTTGGGTCTCCTTTGCTTCCTATCTTTCTGCTGGTATAGTGTATGTTAAAAAAATCAGCTATGACCACAGATGTTAAAAAGTAATACAGTGAAGTAGTACTACTATGCCAAGGCACAAAAATGTGACAGTATCACAATAAAGCCTGGCCCTCATGCTCATTTCTTGAACCACGAATACTTCTGCTTGCTAATGTGCGGATGCTGTCCATGGGCCCACTAACTTCCTGCTCTTACCAAAGCGATAGGGGAAGCAACTCGTGATGCCATTTTGCCATAAGCAAAATTCTTCACTGGAGCTGCTGCATTGAGCCATATTTAGCCAAGTTTTGGAAACTAGTTGAGTGGACAGAGGTTAAGCAGACTCAAATTGCATCCAGTCAAGTCAGCAGTGATGCTGGTGGAAAGGCTAGTTCCCTAGAAGGATTCTGTATGTTATTGATGGTTGAGATAGTGACCTCATCAATACAGGCCTATAGCTCACGGAAGACAGGAGAAAATGGGAAAGCATCCAAAATTGATCCAACAAGAAAGAACTAGTCAGAAGATGCCAGGGAAAAGTAGTTTTATCCTTTAAGAAACCTGAACAAAAAGGCATCTTAAATAATCCCCCCTCCCCAATATCTTGATCACAGCCCATGGAGTTGTCCTGAACCCTGCCCTGCTTTTTGAGAAGTTTGTTTCTGGAGCCTTTAAAACAGTCTTCCCCAACCTGCTGACTGCTGGTCCTGCTGACGGGAGTGAGAGTCCAGAATACCTGAAGGGCACCAAGCTGGGAAAGGTCGCCACGGAACAGCCATTTATCAATAGCAGCTTCAATGGATGGTGTGCCCCTCCTGGGAAGGTCAGACCCATGAAGTGTAACTTCCAGACCTGAACATGGCAGGGTGTTTTCTTTGGGGCTGCTCTTGAAGACTATCTGAAAGACATAGCAGACGGGTTGCAGTATTTGGTATGGCTTGCAATGTTGGAATCACTGCCATGGGCAGCCTCACGGAATGCATATTGCAATCCAAGGCAGAAGCATCTGTTCTGGTTTCAAACCTACAGAGGCCTCTACTCTGAACTGGGCAGCCCATGATCCACTTTTCCCTGGGCTGTGGGGGAAAGACAGATGCTAATAGCAGTGCTGGAGCAGGTAACTAGGTTGAGGTCATCAGAAATGGGGGACGTTTTCTTCAGTGCTAAGCAGGGAAACAGCAGTGGTCAGAGAGAAGACTGATCCAAAGAAACGTTTGGCTATTGCATGGTACTGAAGTAATGCATATAAAGACATTAACCAGAGTGAGACGATGAGCAACAGAGTGCTGTGTTGGTGAGAATGCTGCATTGGGGACCTGGGAGATCTGGCTTCTAGTCCCCATGAAGCTCACTGGGAAACTCTGGGCTGTTCTCACAGGCTCTACTTCACAGGGTTGTTGTTGTGAGGATAAAAATGGAGTAAACTGCCTTGGGTTCCTCAGAAGGGAAACAAGGTGGGATAAAAATGCAATGTAATATGACCTTTAAATATATTTACATCTTTTAATTATTTCAATAGAAGGGCATTTCTATTTAAACCATTCACACAGAGAGAAGGTACAGAAATGGGAGGTTTGTGTTTCAAGTCTGGTTTTTTCCTGTACCATATTCTGTGACTGACTTTTGTATAGACATGCACAGTATTGAGCTGTGCCTGGATTGCTATGTGGAGAAATATCACCAAGCACAAAATGCAATTTCTGTGCATGCTAAGTGCAGCACCCAAAAAACTCAAGGTGTGGCTCTCCCTGCCATAGAGATTCCTTCTCCCTTTGTCTTTTTGACAATTCTTTGTCAAAGAAGGTGCTGCTTCAGTTTCGTGAAAGCAGCCTCTGGAAGCCTCTATTCTTCTAGAGCTGAAGAATGGTTCTATTTTAGTTTTCTTTAGGAGGTGCTGTAAAACCCTTTTAATCTGACTTTTTTCCCTTCTGGGATCTTCTTAGATGAACATCTATATGTTTGACTGTCTAACACTTCAACAATGGCTGTTGTATGTTTTTGTTGATTTTATATGCAGTGATTCTTATTTTTCCCTCTTTTGTTGTAACTGGAAAAGCAACTCACAAATGCTGAAAGTAACCAAATGCTTCCTAGTGTCCAGTGTGTTTTGTGGAGCAGCAGGAACAGTTTTTGGAGATGGAG